ACGTCAAGATTATTATATCCTATTTCTTATTATAAAACAATTTCATTTAGCTCTAAAATTATATTTCTGAATATTGCAAAATTTATTTTCAGCTGTATTGCTGCATTTTATTTACAGTAAAATTTTTCCCACAGGAATGAAGAATATTGGCCATTAATATTTAGCATCTACCTTCTCTCGTTCGTCGTTGCAAACAGGATTTCCGGCTTCCAGTCGTGCTGCTTAATTGATATTCGATAGCGGCTGCCGGATCTCATGGATTCTGCATCCTGTCTCTCCTCTCCTTTCGAATCATCACGACGCGAATGTCCTGAAACACACGGCCGGTGGGCGGTAAAACGCGATCTTCCGCATGGAACAAGTATGTCGCGATTTTCACGAAAACTTTTGACTCCCTCGATCTCGCAACATTTTGCTTTCCGAATCCCGCACTCTTTTTTAGCCCAAGAATTTCAGGCTCCAAAAGGTGGCTCAGTAACCATGCAGACGATCCCGTATTCGTTTGGGATTCCCGCACTGCGAGCTCAATGGAACACGCGACAAAACTTGCGCGATCGTCAGTAGCCGTGTTACACGTTCTCAACAATTACACTTATTACACTACATGATGGCGCGGCGGCGGTTACGCGTGCGATTGACATAATGAAGTTGGCTGAGACAGCGCGACATATCATGTCCCCGTCGTCTCCGATCTAAAAATTTGAAACGACCGATGCAAACTTCGTCGTATAAACTTTTCCGAAGCCGTGTGCCGTGTGTGCAAAACTATAAAAATAAAATACATCCGGACAAACATCTTACACAGCATGTGACGCGAATTCGAATTATAGGAAACGCAACAGTGACGGTTACAATAAAAGGCGATCTATTGTATATACAATGCATTGTAAACCTTGTCGTCAATCGTAATGCTTGGCGACAGATAATTAGAAGCGATCGATTCTTAAAATATTTCTCGCATATTCAATGTCGCGTGTAAAAGTATTAATATAATTTAGTAATATAGATAATAATTATTGAATACCTCGTTGGTAAATTCCAACGATCCTTCCGAGCCGTTTTTCTTATGATTTATCTAAATTCGAAGTTCGCTCTATCTTCTGGAATTAGATTATTCGATTTTGAAGGCAGAATCATGCTATACGAAGTCAGGATTACGGTTGTAGTCCTTCGTTCAATGCAACACGACGTATCGCGGGTGGTCGTAGCAGCTCCGAACTGATGGGAATGTCATATATTCGCAATAGCGCGGTCGCGCGATTTATGCGCGATTTATATAGACTTGGCGGGCGTCAAACCCCACCACTCGCCCGCCAGCCAATCAACGCGCTGCCTCGCTGCGGGCGTTGAATTCGAACGCTCATTGGAGAACGCTAGCTTTTGGATAGAGTATATAAATGAGCGTTACGCAGCGAAAATTTCACTTTTTTTCGAAAACTAGGCGCATTCGGTTCCCGTATGATGTTCATACTCGGAACGCGCTTTACGATGTTAGCGTATATTTGAATCTAGCATTAGCATATAGTTCACGTTACATAATATTATAATTTCGTTGAATCTATTTTTCAACGTATGTACAAAAACTTAATACCGTTTCCCATTTTATTTATACACAAATAAGCGTAATGATTATTATCATAATACATTTAGTATTTAACAATAAATAAAATTTACATTGAAGTTACATTGCTAGATATCTCAATTTGAAGAATTTTATTATAGAACTTTAAATAATAAGTATATTTCTATATACTTGCACAATGTGTTTAAATGATCCACAATTTTTAATTTATATACCTTTTCTAAAATTTCAATTGAGATACAAATTTGTAAATAATCTTTTTTCAATTCGTTATCTGTTATAAATGACGACTATTGATCGTAAATTTCGATGAACATAAGCATTTAATTTTTTGTTATTAATTTATGACTTTGTTATGTATTTTTTTTTTCAAGATTGCTAGCGTATTTATAAGTTCGATCTTTTTCTTTATATAGTCTTCTCAATATAGCTATCAACTATTCTCTCTCTCTCTCTCTCTCTCTCTCTCTCTCTCTCTCTCTCTCTCTCTCTCTCTGTAATTTTCTTTAATTTAAAAAAGAATTTAATTTCTAGCCCATCGGGCGATTTCGACGATTCTATATATTATGTAAAATGTCGAGAAAAGGTTTCTCTTTGATATAGGTATGTAATAAGAAATTATATAATTAGAAATTTTGCTTCGAGTAATTCAGACACGGTTGAATTAATCGTCGATTATTCTACAAGTAACAAGTTAAAACGAAACGGTTACACCGTTACTAGGAATTAAGAGAAAGAGGAAGAATGAAAAGCATAATAAGTTGCACTAATAATGAGCAAGCCTATTTGCTGTGGTGACCAATGACGACGCGAGGCCGCGACAACTTTCGAGTTGTGGTAATGTTGGCAGCGCCGAGTAACCTCATTTCCGCGTGTCTAGCGCCTATTGTGACAGCTGTCATAGAGGAAAAGTTAAATGCTGGTTGAGTCGTGATCGTGCCAGTTGCGTGTAAACAATTCTTTCGTCGTGACCGTATCTTGTGAAACAGCCTCGACTTTGCGCCTCGTCTCGAATCCACGATCAAATTGTTTTCATTCTCGGCGTCTTGAACAACAACATACACGGTGAAGGATGACAATGGGCGATGAGACCCCAGTTACATCACTGGTTCTTCCCGTCATATTAAGGCCAATATTAACCAAGGTATCGGCTGAATATCTCTCCCAAGACAATCATGTCTTTCCCATAAATATTTTCATCTACGTTTAACATCTTGTATTGATAATGAATAGTTATCTTTTAAATGTGGAAGAATGAATGGACTTGAAAAAATTTGTGCGCACAAATTGTACAGTAAATTGTATCTTGCATTGGGCTTTGCACCTTTTGATAAAGTTTGATAAAGGTTCTTATCAAGATTGTATCACCTGAATGTGTTTTCTCCCGAGACGTTTGTGTCTTTTCTATAAATAATATTTCAATCTTCGTCTTGTTCAACGTCTTGTACAGAATAATTATCTTTTAACAGTAAAAGAATGAGTGGACTTGAAAAAAAAATTGTGAGTAATTGTATCTTGTGAATTCTATTTTGTATTATATTTTTGATTTTACACCATTAGATACAGAACCTCTTGTTAAGAATGTCTGTCAGATAGTAACATGTTAAATTTTTACAGCTGGAAAGACAAAATGTTATGGCGGCACAAACTCTGCGTGCGGCTCTCTCAAAAGCCGAGAGTTCGCATCCTGGGATTACATACGACTTAATTATGGGTATAATACGCAGAGCAGAGCTGAATCTTGATATGAACGAAAGTGTCTTACGGTTACAAGGCACTGCTTCTGATTACGATGGTAATATATCTTTTATTTATGTAAATTACTTTGTGTTTGTACATAATATTATCGTAGCACTCTACTATCTACATCTGATTATTATAAGATTGAAAATAAGCAGATGCGTTTTACCTTTGATTATAGCTGTGGAGTATCGTTCAGCACGCTCAGAAGATGCATTCCAAGAATTGAATCGTAAATCGATTTCTTTGAAGAGAATACTTAGCAGAATTCCCGATGAAATTACAGACAGAAAGACTTTTCTAGAGACAATCAAGTGTGTATAACATATTTATATCTATAATCTTTATATAGAATTAGTTCTATCAATTATACTTTCTTTCAGAGAAATTGCGAGTGCAATAAAGAAACTTTTAGATGCTGTGAATGAGGTTACTGCATTTATACCTGGTTCAGCTGGTAAACAAGCCTTAGATCAACGTAAAAGAGAATTTGTAAAGTTTAGCAAAAGGTTCAGTAATACATTAAAAGAGTACTTCAAGGAGGGGCAGTAAGTATACAGTGTCAAAATGACCAATCGAAACAAAAATAACGCAGCCAAAAATTAGAAACATATTACTTAGTCGCTACAATAATGACATAATTAAAAATTGTCATTTTTTTAAATCGCTTGCAGAGAAAGAATGGAAATATAAAAAACAAAAAGAAAGAACATACTTTTACTCCTTGTCATCAGTTATTACACCAAGATTATATATTTCAAAATTATTATTACAAAATAATTCAGAACATTGGAATTTATTTTCTGAAAAATTTTGTTTTCTTTTTAATTGTGTCATGTCATAGCAAATGAAGGGTATTATTTATATTACATTTATATCTCAATTAAACGAAATTTATACTTCTTACAGAGCAAATGCAGTATTTGTGAGTGCACTGTACCTGATACATCAAACAAATATGATTATGCTCACAGTAAAGGACAAATGTGAGTAAACAGTTTTACAATGAATTTCCAGTGTTGTATGTGATAATATCACGAGAGTCAGATAAACCATTAATATTACAATCAGCATAACATCCTAATCTCACATATTCTATTATACAAGCAATGATAGAACCTAAATATCCGGTATAGAGGACTTAACGTCATTATGTTGCCGTTAATCGGTTGCACTATAGTTTTTGTTATATATATATATATAGATATATATAAAATAATAAAGATGTTGGGGTATATTATTCCACAAATTATATATTTATACTTTTATTTTGTGCCAACTCAAACGTCATATTAATCGTCAATTCTTATTGTAACGGTCAATAATAGTATTGTATATACAAGAAATGTTTAAAAACATGAGAACGACCTTATTGTTGTTATATAAAAATAATATATCATATATTATGTTTCCTTTTATCTCAGAACTCTAAAGAGTATAAAATTTAAGTAAAACCTATACAAATCTGGAGATAATATTCAAATTTATTGTAATAGTGTTCAGTTTAAAATTTACAATGAAAAATACATTTGGGAAAATTGAATCCTCATTTAAATAATTTTCAACAATCTGTTTATACTCTTTAGAACGAAATAAGGACAGAACGGTAGAAGTATGACAGAAAGGAATTTACTGCTCCAAATGTACAAGAAATAAAAATTACTTTATTGATAACAAATGTACACAAATTTGTTGTATTTCCCATATGGAAAATTGTGAATGGCTTGCCTATCTACATCCTCATCGCATTAACAATGACGATGAATAACAGTAAGAATTAATGGTAATTATGATATAATGAACATGTTACTGCAAAATGTACAAAACTCTTCAAGCCCGTTTGCTGTCAGAGAATACACGGACAATGCAGCCAACACCGCTTATATTAAATACCTTTTCATGCCAAAGTAACAAGTGACTACTGCTACCTTCTGTCGGGATTTCAAAACCTCGATAAATATATTTCATTAGAACATCTATTAAGTCACGATCTAATTGTGCTAAACAATCGTCCACTTGATTCGACTTTATACTTAGAAGCACCTTCTGTGTTAAATTTCGTGCACTGTCCTGCAAATAGAAAAATGTTTCATGTACTTGTTTATACTTGCGATTAGGATATTCTAGATTTATTCATAGATCTAAAAAGTTTACTTCAATCTCACAGGCAATAATTACTGAGTGCTTACTCAACTGTTATGTTCACTGAACACACCCATTAGGAGCATGCTGGATTATCAAGCTTGAAACTGCATACTTTTTCATAAATCATACATGAACTCTAACATCTATATTCAAATTTGCAAGTGGTCTCCTTAAAATCATATATAAATCATAAAATAAAAACAAAAGCAGACAAATTGCGAAACAATTTTCATTAATAAAATATAACATGCTCCTTTAATTGTGGATCTCGAGAAGTTCTTGGTTCACAAAATTTAAATCGATTTACATTAGAATAATGATTTTTCCACAATTAATTTATGTAATTTTCAAGTACACAGTGCCATTCCATTTAGCAAATCACAAGTCGCTCCACGACAAAAGGTGAATCACTGTCTCGCAGTTTGAGGTTACCTTTACTTGCTGATTCTTACACTCCAACGGTGCGGACTTTAATACCGATATTAGGGCCTCTGCGTTCTTACCCTTGATAATTGTGTTAAGAAAAATCTCACGATGGAATTGCTGAAAAGTAAAGACTCTGCGGAACGCTAAAGTATCGCAAAAGGATATTGGCTAAGAAGTGTCAAGATCTCGTTCTCGTCCGGACCGGTGGGCGCACCTACGCCACCGTCCGCGTCCTCCTCTTTGAAATTGTTGTCGCTATATTGGTCTACGTCGATCTTACGGAACGCGGACGCCGAGGTGTCTTTCTTGCCGTCGTTCCTCGACATCTCGGCTGTGTGCTTGACGTTTCCTGCGCGTTCACGTTCACGCCCGGCTTATCGAACAGCGACAACAGCGTCGACAGCGACAGTCTCGCCCACAGTAGTTAGATACGTTTGGATTCGAGTCGCGCGCATCAGCGCGTATCGGGCTGCGCCATATTGGCACCGATCGGCTCGTCCACATGAGTCTACGTGAGTCTCTCAGACTTGATTTCCATGTATCATTTTTTTGTTGTCTCCAAACAGTCCAAACGTGGTCAACGCCATACAACACACTTTATCCGAAAGATATTCTGGAAATATCTTTGGGACATTCATGGAACATAGAGATATCCTCTGGACGTCCTTAGGACATCCCTTTGAGGTCTGTGTTGTTATAAATAATATATTCTATATGTGATATGAAGCGTGTGCTATATTTTATATAATAATAATAATACTAAATATAACACAGAAACTCGCAGCAACATTGTTGCAATGCTTGCATGTTGCTGAAATGATTTGTGTTGTATGAAGCCGCGATTTGATCCATGCTTACAATTCTCGTACGTATTATTTATTCTTATTTATCACTAATAAACAACAAGGATAAATGATTTCAAGAACATTGAGCGTGAATCGAATCGCAGCTCCATACATGGTAAAGCACGGTTGATTGATATTGCTATAAATAAAAATTATGCGTAAACGCATAAAATCCCTTTCTATTAGCAAACGCAAACTGTATATTATGTCCAATCTTAATATGTGAGTCACACTGAAGCATGCTAATTAAATTACGTGCGTTCTCACACATAATAAATAAGAATTATACGGGAAAAAATACACAAAGAGCGCAACAATTCGCTTGTGTGAAGTGAGTCACTAAAATTGGACTCCAAGGTGAAAATAAATGAAATGTATTTTTGACAGTACAATTTTGTTTAAAAATTAATTCAGGGATCGCAGGATTTGGAATTTCTTGAAAAATTATAATTTTGCGGAATATATATATATATATATATATATATATAGAACAATATGTAACGATATGTGAATGAAATATTTAACGTTTATTTGAATATTGCTCTTATATTCTGAAATATTTTGGGATATTCTTGCAATGTTATTTTGGGACTTTGGAAACATTTTACGAATTTCAGGAATATTTAGCGTTAATTGGGACACGCGTGTAAGCAAAAATAATTTTACAAGTATCATCCTTCGATGCCACTAAAAAATCTTACAAAAAATCTTAAAATATCTAAAATAAAACTTAAGAAATAATGAATTCTTTGAACAATTTTTCGTTTTTACTTCAAGAGATTTTTCTCATTTGTCCGTTAAAAATACGCCTCTAAGTCAATATTTATTTGTCATAACGTCAGAAAAATGTGAATATACAGATGATTCCTACAACTCTGCATAATTTTTTATCAGAAACGAAATCCAGTTCGACAAAATGTATATATATTTATATTAAACTGATACAAGGTTTTTGTTTTAAAAAGCCTTGAAACTTTATATGGGGGGGGGGGGGGGAAAATTGGTGGGTGGGGGGGGGGGGGGGGGGCATAATGCGCAATTTATTTATCTTTTTTTTTCACACACGCATTACACACAATTTTACATTTTTTTAGAAGACGATTTGAATCTTTTCCGAATATGAAAAATGCACTACAATGGATGCGGTCAGAGAAATGTCTATTAGCTTTTTGTGTCAAGTTATCCTTGTTTTACGTCTAATGAGATCGATAAAGATAATACAAATAACTCTAATAGCGTTCAAACGCATCTAAACTCAACTTTATTTTGTATGTATTACAGACCTGTTTTATTGACCCACAGTTCATCGAGATTGATTTCATTTTTGAAAAATTGTGTAAATACAAGTATGATAATCTCATAGCTTTCCTCGGTTCTAACGTACGTCATGCTCGAGAGAGCTGACGTATTTTAGATTCTTAAAGAACTCATTCGTGCGTGAGGATGATGTAGGAAGTACGAGCAGGAAATCAATATCTCTGCGAATGTGTGTGAAAAAGAGATAAACGATTTGTTCATAGTCGTGTATAATTTTCAAGGCTAATAGCTCTTGTCTGGATGTTATATAGATATATTTATAATGATAGAGAGGATAACATATGCATTTTTCACTTATTCTGCGAAAACGTTGTTATTTTATCTCTTACAATATTTCTGTAAAATTTAAATTATAATGAGCGAAATCGTCATTTATCGTGTGACAGCACACCAAAGACCAGATTATTCAAAATTATGCAGTTTAATGACAGATTGTGCTGTAGTTAAATTGCAATAATTTGCAATGATTTCGTGCGCATTATGTGATTAAATATATAAATTAGCTATAATATAGTGTTGACTGAGGATCTGAAATAAACAAAAATTCCAGTTTATTTTGGTAGCAATTTGTACGAGATAAAAACGGCGCCATAAACGATTTGATGCTCATTATATGCATGAAATCACTGTTAATGCAACAAATATGTACGCAACGTGGATATCCCCAACCGCCTGTCTCTTACTGGTTTTTTCCTGTATAAGGAAACAAGTCGGAAACAGATAAGAGTGGACAACTAATATAAATCGAAAAGCAGTTTACTAAAGACAGTCATTCGGTTGTTCTTTCAAGTATTATCAAGACGCTTTCGTTTAATTTCTATTCGTTCTTGAATTTGGATTCGATATCACACGGATACAATCATGAAATATATTTTTGCACGTAAGTACAGTGTAACAAAAAATATAGCTCTTGATTATTTTTTTCAAATCTATGAGACAACAAAAATCTATTCTCTTTTCATGGATAGCTGATACGTTTGAATTTGAGTAACGCATTTCCGATATTTTGTTAAGTCTTCAAATATTTAAAGAAAAAAATTGAGAGATATTTCTTAAGCTCTTATTTGATATATTCTTCGAGATTTCTGAATTTGTCCGCAAATTTGCGTTAAAATGTGCATATGCACGTTTGACTATGTCGTTTTACTCGATAGTTGTGCAAGTATTGACCCTGATTTGGTTGGTCGCCTTGGCATTCCCGCAAAGAGACTGGTCGGGCAACGTCGTCGATGATTCCATAATATTTGATAATAATGATGAAGCAAACAGCAGCACGCCGAGTAGTACCACGCAAGGGACAATAAATAATAGTAATAATAATAATAATAATACTAATACTACTACTAATAATAATAATTGTCCATGTACCGCAACTGCTGAATACAACCCGGTATGCGGCACCGATAACGTAACCTACTGGAATATAGGAAGATTTAATTGCGCGAAAAATTGCAATCCACGTAAGTACTACATTACTCCTCTATTACTGTTCTTTTTTCGTTATTACATTAAATTTACTTAAACTTTCTTAACATAAATTTTTATAAAGCTTCTCTTTATTACTTCTATTTGATTATTGAATCATTTATAATTTCTTATTTCGACAAATAAATTATCTAATAGCGCTCAATATTTTTTAAGAACTTGAGATAAGAGTGATCAGGGCTTGTGAACCGTATAGCCAGCTGAGCAGTAATTGAATACCATATGGTCCGCCATCACTTCCATATGATTGATAAACATATAGGTAAAGATAAATGTTAATTTTTAATATAAAACGTTTTATCTTTTCGCCTTATTATTATCTTTTATTCGTATAAACAAGAGATAAAACTGTCACGTGTTTCGAATGTTACAGACTTGTATACGATGTCTATTAGAGGAAATTTCTGATATACGATCGCAAACCATTAATTCTTGGCCATCAACATTTCGCAAACTTCATGCGTTAGTAGTGTACGTTTGATGTGTTCCATTACATTTTAAATGTATGCATTTTTAATTTGTAATTGCTATTACGTTATGTTTTAAGCCAGGCTTACTGAATATATACATACTTATATTAAGTTTATACATTGTATATACATTAAAGTATATATCTACTACAATTATATTAAATTAAAATGTAACATTTACATTACATTAAATTAGGGAATTAATTAATATTCCATTATATGAACACTTACTTATTATATTTTAATATTACTGCGGCTATCAATTATTAATTACAGCAGTATGCACGCACACATATATCAACATAGAAACTGCAACTCTTAATTTTTTATGGTTTTAAAACACTGCAAGATGATCAACACAATTCTATTGTAGTTACTAATAACGCGACTGCAAAGGTAATAATTATGTCGATAGAATATTACTAAATTCTTGTGTATGCGTGTGCAATAAGAATAAATCTGACAAATGAATGCTTACTTGTTGAAACGAGACAATCTGAATAAGCTACGACAAATTCTTAAAGGTTTTTTCTTTTTTGTTAAATGTACTGATGAATTCTTATCCAATATTCTAACATTATTATTTCAACTTTTTGTTAGAAAAAGAATTTGAATAATAGCATCACATGTTTTTTTTTTTATTTTAAAACATCTTTTATATTGTAAGGATATTAATTTTCACTATTTTTTAATCTTTTATTTTTGAAAAAAATTATTATGCAGTGAATAGGTCATATCATTATATTGGGGAATTCCTATTCGCTTATACTTGCGCACATTGCAGACAGAACCGTTGGTTGGCAACCGGTTCTATATAAGAGCAAGCGCAACTAATGCTGCCAAACAGTACATCATCGAACTCATATTCAGGATATTATCTTGGACATCTTGGACATCACACAACGTCGATTGCTGATCTCTTATCAAACTAATTTTTTAACAAAATGTTTTATTTATTACTGAGTAAGAAAATTATTTTAAATATTTTGTACATAGCGCGAAGTGTTCTTCTTATACATCAATTAGTGCTAATATCTCAATCTTATTGAATAATTCTTGCAGTTACTGCATGGCCGTTTATCATTACCGCGTTTTCACAAGTAAGTAAATATTCTTTAATTTGCTCTTTTATAGGAGAGAATATTTAAATGATTTTAGATATTTGTATACGTTGTCAAGAAGTATATGTCTTCTACTAATTGTAAGCACAAAAATTAAGTGATGACACAGACACATCATGACGTTTGTGAGTCAATTAATTCTTAATAATTAGGATTTCCTTTATGTAACGATAATATCTTTATTTTACGCTCTATGAATAAAGAGATTAAAACAAGAGATAATCGCACTCGTACTTTTTTATATTTTAATATTTATTTTAAATTCTGAAACCAATACCGTAAAGTTATCTCAGTTATCTGTATAATTTTGTTGAAAATAATATTTCTGTATTTTCTGAAATCTAATATATGAAGCGTAATTTGATGAATGTATGTATAAATCACAGAATTTGGATAACGCACGTGTGGAGATGGCTCAAGTAGATGGCTTCATCTTTGACGGTCCAGTGGCTTCCGAATCCAATGGAAGACAAGAAATTACTTCAACATCAACAACAACTACCTCTTCTATACTTAACAATATATATGACGCATGCGTAATAAACTGTCCGGTAATTATAATTCTTTTCTCACTAAAATCAACGTAACATTATTTAAAACAATTCTTAATTTAAGAGAGAATTTTGTTAAATAAATTTTACACCTATTTCCAAAAAATAATATTGATCTCTCTCTCTCTCTCTCTCTCTCTCTCTCTGTATAATAAAATATCATATTCTTATCGTAGGTGACGAGTGAATACAATCCTGTTTGTGGTACGGACAATGCTGATTACGTTAATCCAGGAAGTCTAGGCTGCGCGAAACGTTGTGGGAGAGGTGAGATGCTTCATAAAAATTTTGATATTTAACGATTGTATTTATTTTGTTACATGAAAGATACATTTTATTAACGTTACAATAACTTCAAAGAACAATAATCAAATTTTCAATTTAATGTTAAAACGGTCAAGCTAATTATTTAATATTTTTTAATATGTAAGGTAAATATACTAATTAGTGAACAGTTAGTGAACATCATGACTCAATTATTGGACGCAACAACAAAAATTTTAAATATTAAGCTTCTGATAATACGTACACTTCTAAATAAATTCGTTATTTATAAACTTAATAATAATGAATATATTTAGAGTCGTATATATCATTAAAATTAATATTTAAAATAATTAATTAATGTTTAATTTTTGTCATTTTATCTAATAATTGGGTTATGTCCACTAACTGATATTTATCTTAGATTACTTTTATCAGATCTTTTAAATTATCTTTATTACTATTATTGCTTAGTGCTCACATTCTTGAAGTTATATCAAATATATTTATATTGTAAATTGAATATGTTAATGTACACTATTATATTATATTGATTTTTATAAATTTTTTTGTATATGCTTTAAGAAAAAAAGGAGATTTCTTATCTAAATCTAGACAGTTTTTCCTTTTTATATCAATAAGATAGGAGGAAGATAATTCTTTTCAATATTCTCGATTGTTCCAGCATTAATAAATTTTGCAATACCAAAAGTAGACTTACCGAACATATATATTTATACGTTTAACAATCTTTGTTCTATAAACTATATAAAATAATAAAAACTTCTTTGCATAATTACAGTACAAAATAGTGTAATTACGAACACATTACAATGCGTAACACGTAATAATTTATATTTACAGAAGTGGTTTTAAATTATTATGGACGCTGTTCAACAAGTCGAACTGGATAACAAATGATTTATATTATAAAATACAATTTACGGAAATAAATATTTTGATAAAATATTGGTAAATGTAAGAAAAATATTTATACATTATAATATTTACATTTTAGTATCACAATTTTTATGTCGCAATGTTAGGCCTTTTGAATTGTTATTCCTTTGGCAATTGTTATTCCTTTTGTAATATCCTTCATTAATTTATTATTATTGAATTTCGGGAGTCCTATTATTGCGTTCATTATTAATTTATAATTATTTCCTCCAAAAAATACACAACTTTCCCAATTTTTCCATTAATGCTGTAAATCTCAATATTTATTTGATGATTTGTGTATGTACATATATCTGTTTTACTAAAAGTTCCGCAGCAGTTAGTATGTCATAGTTGACGAATTGACTTGCTCTCCATTTTTACTATGAAACAAACCTGCGCCTCAGTAAAATGTACAATATAAGACTAAAAGACTTTAATAACTAAAATAGTGACCAATATGTGTATAATGTAAAATAAGTGAATATTTTCGATAATAGTACGGAACTTTATGTCTAATAATAATTTCTATGAATTTTATATAATTCGTTTTTCCGCTTATTATCTGAACCATGAGCCGATTTTACTTTTAGGCTTAAAATTTTGTAGCAGTGTTTGTACAACTACCTATAATATAAACTATAAACAAAATTTCAGCTTTCTAGACTTCGTTAGGTTTTATAATTATCGAATTAACTTTAAGTTTGATTGTACTCTCAAAATGCAGTAGGCAGAGCAACCTCATCCGAATAATCCTTATAATTGATAGACTCTGCATATAAAATCATCCAAGCTGCGTCATATTTTCATTCGCACTAAAAAAAACCGCAATCTATTAACAAAGTGAATCGACTTGCTCACAGAAACGGCAGAAAATACAATGAATATTTGTTTTACTTTCGTAATCTTGATAATGTCACGTCCAAATATGGTAATAATATGTACCGAAGTTCTACATAGGAATAATAGCCTTCGCTATATTAGCACGTACAAGTTAAATTCAATTTGAATGCAGTTAGATCTTGCAATTTGCAGAAAGGCAGATCCATTTATACACTTACATATGTTGTGGCACTGATCCTGTAAATATCCATCCCGATACGTCGATGTTCTGTAAACTTGTGGTCTTATTCCCCTTTCGAGTCTCAACAATGGCCACCTGCCAATGGTATCGGTTGATTGACAAAGGCCGTACAACATTACACGAATACATAGTATCGTTTCCATGTGATTAATAAATATGACATATAGGTGAAGATAATAGCGATTTCTTAAATGCTGGTAAAATATTGTGTGTGTGTGACATTATTTTATTCTATCTCTTTGCTGTATTATTTTTTGTTTATAGTTTATACAATGACAAAACCGGCGTGTTAAATGTTACAGACTTATTTAGCAAACTTCATGTGTTAGTAATGTTGGATGTATTCCATTACATTTTAAATGTATGAATTTTTAACTTGTAATTGCTATTACGTTATGTGAAAACTCCTTATTGAATATTTATACATACTTATATTAAGTTTATGCATTGTATATACATTAATATATATTTCTACTATAAATATATTAAATTAAAATATAACATTTACATTAAATTAGGAATTAATACTCCATTTTTTAAATATTTACTTATCATATTTTAATATTACTGTTGTCATCAATTACACTGGCCGACATAGTTTCTGTTGTTTGAATAAAGGTACACTGAAAAAAATATAATCAATTTTAATAAATATTTAGTTGAATACTGCCAACTAAATATTTATTAAATATAAAGATATATTTATTTGATACAAGAAATATTAATTTGATTTAACAATCAATTTTTTATTGAACAAATATTTATTTACTGTAAGTAAATGTTTAGTTGGCAGTATTGAACTAAATATATATTAAAATTGACTATATTCTTTTCTCACTGTATCATTTCCGATGTATTTTTGTACACTGAACACGAATCCTGCTACGAAATTGCTCTATCACGTCAGGTTTTTGAGAAAAGTGAGATTAAAGGTGTTAAAATTAACGTTTTTTTTTTATATATTTGTGACTTTTTGCTAGCGAACAAGTAAATTTTTTTCCCTACACTGTTAAATTTTATAGAGTCAATTTAACTTAATGTGAGTCGCCACTGCTCCTACTCAATAATATC